CCATAAAATTTATTTTCGTTATTACTTCATCACTGTAATATTGCTATTGTTAGGAATCGGGCGACCCCTGTGAAAGGGTCATTCGACCCCTAAAGGGGACAAGGACTCACAGGTTGAGGACCGCTGGCCTAGACCCAGAGGAAAACTGATGTCAAGCACCTTTCTCCAGACCCGACAACAAGAAACAGCCTTGCCCTGAAGTTGATGCTATGAATTTGGACGTCTAGCTTCATAAACGATGAACTTGTTTGTTAAAGCCACCCAGTCGTGGTATTTGTTCGAGAAGCACTTGCAGGATTAATGAAGTGGAAAATTATGTTTCCATTTTTGTGGGTGAGGTAAATGAAGTTCGGAAAGCGGAGGTCCCTTGCACTCCCAGATATGCAGCACATTAGGCCGGGATGCCAGATTTTGTGGGGGGGGTGGTGGTGGGAGGAGACAGATGTGCTTCTTCTCCTAGACAGGAGAGGAGATGTCTGATAGGTACAGTATCTTATCGACACACCCAAACACCCATTTCTTAGTATGGATAGATCGTGGACACCAAATTGAACTTAATACATACTAGTATACATGTTCTGAAAAACAGGAGGAGATGCACGCTGTGGAAACCCAGAGGACTCCTTCTATCTTTACCAGAACATAAACCCAGAGTCATTGTTCTCAACCATGATACTACATGGCCTCCAATCATCACTACTGTGGCTCCTGCTAATCTGGGCTCAGGAGAGAGTGCATGTGATGGATATGGCTTACTTGTTCCCCTGGACCGCTTCTTCCCTCTTACATTGTTATGTAAGAGTGGGACAGGATGGTGCAAACAAGGACTACATTTCCCAGACTCCCTTGGAGCTAGGTGTAGCCATGTGACGAAGTCCTGGTCAAAGGATCGTGAGTAGAAACAATGGAGGCAATTTCCAAGTTTGGGCTTGAAAAATAAAACTATAAAGAGTGGAAAACTTCCCCTTTTTGGCTTCCCCAATGTCTGGAACTCGGAATCGGTGGCTAAAGGCAGCATGGCCATCTCGGACCCTGAGCTAGTGAACACAGCTAGATGGACCAGCTCACTGACATTGAGTCTATTCCAGTTCCTGGGGACCCTGTCAAACAGGACAGAACTGCCCCTGTGGGCTTCTGAGACTATAACTCTTTTGGGGAGCAGAAAGGGCCATCTTCCTCCCAACTAGAGAGGAGGCCGAATGCTCAACACCTTGGACCAACCATATTCCATTTCCAACACCTACACAGGAAGGATTCTATGAAAAAGAGGACATTTTAGGTTTTATTTGAGATGTTCACCTTTTTTGGTAACAAACGAAACATTGAGGAACACAAAGAAATAAGGAAGGATGGCACAGACAATGGAGGGGGGGGTCCGATCACATTTCCCCTGAGGAAGCCCAAGACTTGGACTTACTAGAGAAAGACTTTAACTCGGCTATTTTAAATCTATCCATAGAGCTAAGGGAAACCAAGTACAAGAACCGAAGAAAAGTAGGAGGGTGGTCTCAGCAAATGGCGAACATCAACGTGAGAAACTATGGCAAGGATCCAGACAGAACTTTGTGAAATGCACCGCCAGTTAAATAATAAATTCCCTAGAGGGGCTCATAGCAGATTTGAATTCGCAGACGAACGGTGACCTTGAGGATAGATGCCCTGAAAGGAGCCAGTAGTTGAGCACATTGAGAAATAAAAAAAGAAGAAAATA